TGTGCCCACTGCCATCTCTGCACCTGCAGACCTGGATCCAGACCCATGGTTTGAGAGATACCTTTTCCTGGTCCAAGTAGACAGCTCACCTACAAACTACCTGGCCTGGCTCACGCCATGCATCTCATGAACTGGTCCAACGTAAGGAAGGCCAGATTATCACACCAGATACCCAAAGAAGGGAGTGTGCAATCCTATGTCAAATTGCAAAATCAAAAACAACATGAGTGGCCACGACTCCTGTTGAACCCATTAATCTTATAGAAGTAGCCTCTAGTGAGAACTACCTATGAACCCCAGAACACAGAATTTAAAAGAATAATCATAAATTTTACCCAAGAATTCAGGGAATTAAATGAAGACACAAACAAACATTTCACTGAACTCCAAGAGTTTGGTAATAAATACTGAGTGATATCCAAGAAAATGAAAATATACAGATGTATGGAATGAAAAGGTCCCAGAGCAGATAGATAACAAGGAGGGTCCAAAGATGAATTCATGTATTTCCCTGGGAAGCAGAAGTAGAAAAGATCACCTGGGTAAACTGAACGTGGAGGTTGGGAGGATGGGTTATAAGAATGGGTTGAGTAGGCTGGGTGCAGGATGGAGCAGGAGAGTAACAAAAGAGATGCCTTAGGTGTTAGGAAGAAATCTGGTGCCAGAAGAACCCACAAGAATGACACTAAGACTTTCCTCAGTGTTGGAGAGAGTGCCTGAATTGGCCATCTACTGTAAGCAGATTGGTGACTTTCTTAATTGCCATCAGAGATTCTCTATCCAGTAACTGATGGGATCAAAAGCAGAGATCCTCAGACAAGCACTGCACTGAACTCTTAAGAGTCTTGCAGAATAAATGGAGGAGGAACTGTACCAGCCATGGGGGACATGGTGGGGAAACCCACAGAGACAGCTGACCTGAGTTCACAGGAGCTCATGGATGCTGGATCAACAGTTAGGGAGCCTGAGTGGGACCTACCTAGGTCCTCTGCATGTGTGTGACAACTGAGATGTTTGGTCTTTTAGTAAGGCCTCTTAACAGTGAAAGCAGGACCTCTCCCTGGCACTTAACAGACTTTTAGTAACCTATTTCCCATGCTGGATTACATGGACCCACCTCGATGTAACGGGAGGAGCTCGGTTTTGCATCAATTTGATGTGCCATGCTTTGTGCAAGTCCACGGAGAGCCTGTCCCTTTCTGAATGGAGATGGAGGAGAGGTGGATGGGGAGGAGGGTAGATGGGAAAGGGGAGGAAACAGAAAGAGAGAAGGGAGAGGACACTAAGTAGTATGTAAAATAATTGAAAAAAATAATTTTAAAAATCAAATAAAAGTGAAAACTCTTCATCATAACAAAAAGAAAAAAACAGAAAATTCAGGACTTGAATGCTAAATCCAATAAAAAGAAAAATATTCAAGAAGACTCAAGCTGAAATGAACATGGAGTGAAAAAATTCAAAATCCCAATAAGAAAACTTGGAAGACACACATACAATGCCTGCCAGTAGTCCAGGTAGGCAGCCCAAAGACCTTCTCCCCTCTTTTTGCTACCTTCTGGGTTGACCAATATGTTGCAACAGAAAACCAGCTGCAGCATCCCCTCCTCCCTGCCCATGCCTCCTGTGGATCCTACCATCCCACTTGCCTTCCCTCCCCTCTTCATTGCATCGCAGCCCCCAAATAAGGGGGATGAATCCCCTTGCTCAATCCCAGGCCACCCCTGCCAGCAAAATGTCCTTCTTCCTTATTTTTCATTTCCTTACCAAGCAGGAAATATTTACTTGTGTGTTTGTGTTCATTCCTGTGTTTTATTTGGGCGGGGATGAGCTTACATATGTGTACATATGAGTGTGTAAGTTCACAGATTGACTGGACTAGCTAAAGACCAAGCCCCAGGATTATTCAATAGCTGCCATTTCAACACTGCTATTAACTATAAGCATGTTCTTTCCCACACAGTTTTCTTTTTTAATTTAATTAATTAGTTTTATTTTGTTTTTAAAAGACAGGGTTTCTCTGAGTAACAGCCCTGGCTGTCCTGGAACTCTCACTGTAGACCAGGCTAGCTTCAAGCTCATAGATCTGCCTGCCTCTGCCTTCCAAATGCTGGAATTTATGTCACCACTGCCAGGCACACACAGATTTATGAATGGATATTGGAATCTGAGCTTAGGTCAAGAATTTTTCCACTTGAACCATTTTCATCCACTTCAGCAAAATTTTTATTAATTCTTTGATAATTCTATTCAACTTATTTTGGTCATATTCGCCAAAACTCTGCCCCACTTTCCTCCCTATCTACCCCCTTTTCCTACTCCTTCCCACTTTATGTTCTCTCTCTTCCCATTTTTTAAGAGAAGAGACAATCTCTAGTAGATTCCTGGTCCTTCGATTCTAAAAGCCAGAAGGGCCTGGACAGATGTGTTGCAGAATCTAAAAGACTACAGGTGCTAGCCAGACTACTTGACCCAACAAAATTTTCAATCACCATAGATGGAGAAAACAAGATATTCTATGACACAGTCAAGTTTAAACAATATTTATCTACAAATACACATCTACAGATGTGCTAGAAGGAAAACTCCAACCCAAGGAAGTTAAAAACACAGGAAATAAATAACCTCACACCAGTAAAACCATCTTTATCTAAAAATCCGCCTCTATAAATGTGCTAGAAGGAAAACTCCAACCCAAGGAAGTTAAAAACACAGGAAATAAATAACCCACACTAGTAAAACCAAAGAAGAAAAGCTACAGTACTCTGCATTTTTGATTACTTGTGGTTTCCTGTAGTGATCTTTGTCTGTTAAAAAAAAGAGAAGTTTCCTTGATGAGGTGTGAAGACCAGACATATCTGTGTGCATGAGGATAGATTGTTATAGATTATTGCTAGCAGTTGTGCTGGTTTAGTAAATTAGAGGTTGTAGATTCTCCTCCAATAACCATGAATTCACCAGCACTGAGCAATTAACTAGATTTCCCTCTTGTTGAGAAGGTGTTAAGTCCAGCTAGAGAGCTATTGGTTCTCACCAATGTATACTATTACTGCAAGCTTAGCATGATCATGCCATGCTGGTTGTTGATGTGGACCATAGTCATTGTAACTAAGTAGGACTGCTGGTTGCTCCCCTCCTTTGAAAGCTTTTATGGCATCTTCTGGTACCATGAAAACTAGTCCTTGGGGAAGAGGCATTCTGGTCAGTTTCACCTCAGGTATTTTGCGCTATGTTTCTGAAGTGTATGGTATCTACAGCATGATCCTCTTACCTTCTATCTCTCAGGGTTTATCAAGGGCAATAACCCTAGGCTATATGTTTTGGAGTCTTTTAGCTCTGTCCAACAACTCTGGAAAGGAGTTCTCATCTTGTGTTTTTTCAAGACATCCATATTGTTATTTTACCCAGTTCCCTCTCCCTTCCTCATTGTTAAGTAGCGCCTTTTCTAGTCCCATTTACATCCTTCAATTGCAGTTTACCTTCTTTCCACCTTCTTCTGTATTTACCTCCCTTCCCCTCCTGAAGCAGTCTCCCCTATTTCCATTACAATATTATCAAATTGTAATCTTCAATGTTTGCTCCTTTTCCTGTCTGTTCCAAAACATCACCAGGGCTCTATGAACATTCACAGTGTCTTGCAACTATTTGGTTTTAGGTAATGTGTACTTAAAGCATGGATTTTCTTAACTATACACTCCAGTAGCTACTAGACAACCTGATTTTAGCATAAGTCACTTCACTAGTATTATAGGGTATTGAGGACTTTCCTTGACCTTATAATTGTATTTCCTCAATAAAATGCCCCAACTTAATTCTTTCATGAAAACTGTTAGCTTCCTTATTTGGTGAAGCATTTTGGATGGTGATAAAATACAGAGAACCAGAGAGAGCCTCAGAGGCAGCCTAGACGGTGCTTTAGAGTGTACAGCACTCTGAGCACAGAGGAACTTTTGGCAGTCCACCCACTGTCATAAATATTGCTCTTGAGATTTCATGTCTTTTTCCTTCTCTGTGGGAACTGCAAGATGAATTGCTAGAAGAAATGATAGTCATCATTTCCCAACAGAATTTAGTGAAAGACCTGTTCAACTTCTAGCAATATCCCCAAAGTTTGTGTCTGCTATGTGCTATGAGTCTTCATGTTGTCAATGGCATCATATTCCTGTCTTTTTCATAGCAACTACACTACAACAATTGCTAATTTATTTATGGCGTCATAATGAATAAAATACAAACCTATTATTAAAGTGCTTCTATTTCTGCTGTATTTATTTCATTATACTGATATATTTTATTTAAAGTCTCCACATGATTTCAAATATTTTATGGAAATGATTATAGAGACAATATTTTAGATGCTAGTTCTGGGGAAAAGGGGAATAGCAATTGCTGCACAAGGTGAATAACTGTGTTTACATCCCCCACAACATACCATACAAATGTCAGTAAGAAAGAGCAGCAGATTTCAGTGTTTCGAAGATCACAGTCCCACTTATGCCTGTAATATCAGTGGCAGAGTTCTGACAGAAGTATTTCTGAGGTTAGCAGGATTCAAACTTAGCTATAGTAAAAGATCTCTTTCAAGACAGTAGTCTAAACCAGGCGATGGTGGTGCATGCCTTTAATCCCAGCACTCAGGAGGCAGAGGCAGGCGGATCTCTATGAGCTCCAGACCAGTCTGGTCTACAGAACCAGTTCCAGGAGAGCCTCCAAAACAATACAGAGAAACCCTGTCTCGAAAAACCAAAACCAAACAAATAAACAAAAAGAAAGTAGTCTATAGGCAGGGTGCCTGGAGAAATACTTTGACCTTCCCATATGTGTGCATGATCAAATGTAAATATGCACATAAGTGTGTATACACCATACATATATACAGCATACATTCATATACACACAAACCAGCAACAAAATATTTTACACAGTAAGCAAAATTTGCATACACAAAGAATGCATGATTTTGTGGTATTTCAATAAAAACATAGCTGTTGATAATATGAGACCTAAGCATTTCTCCTTAAGAATTTCACCAGTGAATTTTTTACTTGCTTATTTCTCAAACTGTAGATAACTGGATTCAGTACAGGAATTATGACAGTATAAAATACAGAGTCCATCATGTCAACGTCATCTACCTGTGGAGATGCAGGACGCACATACATGAAAAGAAGAGAGCCATAGTATAAAGACACAGACAAGAGGTGGGCTCCGCAGGTGGAGAAGGCTTTCTTAATGCCTTTGATAGATTTCTGCTTTAAGATTGAAATCAGAACAAGTGTATAAGAGATGAGAATGGTCAAAATACTAAATACCTGTATTGAGCCAGAGAAAATAAAAAGCATTAGGTAATTGAGAGAAGGGTCAGTACAGGAAATTTTTAACAGAGGCATAACATCACAGTAAAAGTGGTGTATTATGTTGGAATTACAGAAGGTTAATCTGAATAAAAAGCCTTCATGAAGCAAAACATGAATAAATCCACCCACAAAGGACAATATTTGCAGACGTACACAGAGTTTATTTGTCATGATCACTGGGTAGAGTAAAGGTTTGCATATGGCTGTGTAGCGGTCATAGGCCATTGCTGCCAAGAGAAAACATTCCGTAGTTGCACTGATTCCAAATGAAAAAAACTGTATCATACATTCTGAGAGAGAGATCAGTTTACTCTTGGCAAAAAAGTCTAGTAGCATCTTTGGTGTCACTGTGGATGATAACCAAGCATCCACAAAGGCTAAACTCCCTAGAAATAGGTACATGGGGATATGAAGGCCAGGGTCATTCCAGATGAGAGCTATCAGACCAAGATTTCCCACGATGGTGATGAGATAGATCACTAAGAACAGCAGGAACAGGGGAACTCTCCATTGTGGCAGATGAGTGAGTCCTGTGAGAACAAATTGTGTCAGCAGTGTTACATTCTCTGTTCCCATGTCCTCACTGGATGTTCCTGAAATGAAAAGCATTGCAAGTCACACAACATTCACTATGAGTGTGTAAGGTAAGTTTCTGGGTGTTGGAACATATAAATGCAATCATACACTTATAAAAATTCCCTTTTATGGTACCTAAAGTTATTGTGATAGATGGAAACTACCCTTGAGATTGATGATGCAAATTCATTACCCAAATTTTAAATGTGAAAGTACCAACAGATGAATGAAAACATTGTCCAACATTTGTAAAATGTGTAGAAATATCATTTGTCTCAGTAAAATATTGTTTAAGTTGTAGAGTATGAATCAAGAAAAAAAGATATTTTATAGACCTGTACTATATCTTAGGTTGACATAAATTGTCTCAACCAACTGGAAAATAGTGGCTAACCTTCGAGTGAAAGTTAACCATAGGTAGCAGCTTGTAAAATGCTTCAAAATTAATTCTAGAGTTATTTTACAGTAGTAGAAAGAAATAGGTTACTCAGGGTTGTGGGGCTGGAAGCAGCAGTATTAGAAATCTCTTACTGTATTCAGAAACTTCCAAATCAGATTACATATCAAAACTTTCTGAGAACATTTGTGTGAAGTATAACTGTAGAAACTGATACATTATTATAAACAAGGGTCTAATAGTCTACATTTTAAAAACATCTCCAAATGACTTGAAATTCCATGAAATCAAAAGTATATGTGGTAGGATACTGGGGGGAAATTAAAGAACAGAATGGTAAATCACAACGAATTCATAATACAGACCTAACACTAACCAGTGAGATATGACATGCTAACTAGATGTTAAACAAAAAAAAGGAAAAATAAATACCTGTTTGTGAGCTTTGTATGGGGTCTTTTAAACTTGATCCTGTGAAATTAGATACACTAGTCTGTTGTTTTTATCATGAACAAGAGAGCTGTGATGCCAGCACTTAATGCATGTTTTGTTCCCTTCCTTTTGGTACTCTACGGTACTCTACTCTCAACAGAAATGTCCATCTTCTAAACACTCTCATTTCCAAAGAAACATTTCTTGTTGCAGCCATGAGCCTAAATCACTCCAATGAAAATATACAAATATACTTTGGGCATAAGAACGTAACCAGATAGTTTAAGGTTGTGATGGCTAAGAAGGAAAAGGTAATAGAAGAAAAACATATGAAGTACAACTATAGTTCCCTGCATGTTGAAAATTAAGAATTTTTGATAGCTTTGGTGAAAACAATTCCCTACACATGATAGAGCCAATGTGGGAAATTAGAAGAAATAAGGGGAAATGGGTGGCTACATGGTATAGGAATGCTGTAAATAGTCTACGAAATGTGGAGGGAAATCAGCATTTATCCAGTACCCACAGGCTGTTGTGATCTATTACCTGTAGAGATCTTTCCCACTTATTTTCCACTAAGAATAAACAAGTGAAGATTATAAGGGGAGGAGTGGACATTATAGTGATAAAAAGCACAAGAAATGTAAGTACAAGAGAGCGCACGCACACCCATCCACCCACACACACACACCCACACACACCCCCCCACACACACACACGATTAATGGAGTTACCCTACAGCAGGGACAGCACAAAACCCCAACTAGACACCTCATGCTAGCAAATAAAACCTCATTTTTGAGTTGTTTGCTGGTAAGGTCACATAGACCCCCCCAAACACCACATCTTAGGCCGTCACTCTCAGGGCCCTTCATACTTTGACAGGAAGATCCTGTTGCTACACAAAGAACAAACTTAAATCACAGACCAGGGAGAAATCGACTGAAACACCAGCTGCATGAGACCTTAAAAGTCATTATGGCGAGATTAAAACATTTGAAAACTACCATTAAAGAGAACAAAATCAAGCTACTTTGTTTACTCATATTTAGTAACAATGTTTAAAAGTGCAGGTAATTCTTTGTTGCTGTTTTCATCTGTATCTAGTTATGTAGGAACACAAAGACAGATATAAAATTATAATGGAATAAAAAATATTCTGAACATCTATGGACAGGATAGTGGACATTATGGAACTCATTTCTCACTTACACATATCTTGAAAGAAATGGCTGAGATACATAAAATATGTCCAGGAATCTAAATCGTAGAAGAGCACAACAGTACAGGCATAGAAAGGCAATAATATGGGTAGCGAGTCTACTCGCAGTGATTCATTTTGAAAGTTTAACTGCCCAAGTACAAAACATATTGTTTATATGAACTCCATCCTTCAACACAAGAACCAGATTATACCCCTGCGAGGTTTTTCTAGAAGAGGATCGATTAGAGACCTAAAATTCCCATTTGGACTAAATGCTCCCTGGAGAACTAGGTAAGGCTGTTCTACTGGCCACCGTAGATTTGGACTCCTATGAAATGCCAAAATTAGTCCCACAGAGTATCACACACTTAAACATCATAAATTTTCAATGCTAAAAGAGATTTGAATGTTTACTATTGAAAAAAAAAACATTTAGAGATCTCACAAATTCCTTCTGAAGGGCCCAGGCTGGTAAAAGTGAGTCTCTCGGCCTAGTCTGGCCACTCCCTTCTGCAACCCACAGAGTCTTGTGTGGACATGCCCTACCTGCCGCCACTCACAGGTCCTTTCTTCTCAGTCCCCAACCCCCCATCCAGGCATATATCCCACAGCCTTCTCTAGTGTTTAGCCTAGATCCACTGTATCTGCCAGAACCCACAGGTCACTTCTCCATATCTAACCACTCCATCAAATCATATATCCAACACTTTTCTCCAGTGACTCTCCCAGACCCACTATACCGGTCACCACCCACAGGTCCCTTGTGTTACTATTGGGATTCTGTGGTAGAATATTATTTTAAGGTATGTGATTTTTGTTTATGCTGCATTTGTTTAACTCTGTGAAGCTGTGTTACCATGACTGCCTAAAACACCCGGTGGTTATAATAAAGAGCTGACTGGCCAATAGTGAGGAAGGAGCAAGGATAGGTGGGGATGGCAGGCAGAGAGTACAAACAGAAGGCAAAATGAGGAGGAGCAACAAGAGAATAAGGAGAGCAGGAGAGCAGGATGTCTGGGTCCAGCCGCCTAAGCTAAGGCTGAGCATTCATAACTAATAACTCCTTGTGTGAGTTACTTGGAAGCTGGGTGGTGGGTCCCTTAAAACGGCCAAAAAGTCAAAAGAACGAAAGAGCCCCCAAACGAAAAAAACATCTTACAACAGGATTTCCTCCCACCCCGTTTTTAATGTGGGCACTTAGTGGTATAAACTTGCCTCTAGAATCACCTTCAATGTGATCCATAGGTTGGAGTATGTTGTATTTTCATTTTCATTTGATTCCAAAATGTTTTTAATATATTTCTTCATTTCTTTCTTGACAATTTTGCATTCAACAGTGAGTTGTTCAGTTTCCATGATTTTGCATACTTTTTGTTATTGATATCCAACTTTAACCCATGTTAGTCAGATTGGATATAAGGTATTATTCCAATTTTCTTATATATGTTGAGACTTGCATTGTATCCAAAATTGTGATCAGTTTGGATAAAGTTTCGTGAACTGCTGAGGAGAAAATATATTCTTTCATGTTTGGGTGAAATGTTCTGTAACTATTTGTCAGGTTCATTTGATATATGACATTTTTTTAGCTCCAGAATTTCTTTGTCTAAATTTTTTCTGAATAAGCAGTCTATTAGCCAGAGTGGGGCATTGAAAACTCACACTATCAGTATATGATTTTAGTTGTATTTGTGTTTCTTTTATGAGCTTGTATGCACTAGCATTTGGTACATAAATGTTTAGGATTACAATATCCTCTCAGTTTTAGGGCAGTTGAGGCCATTAATATTGAGAGTCATCAATGAACAGTGTTAATTGATTCCCACTACTTTGTTGTTAAGGTGTGAATTTGTCCCTTTCTTTTTTGATTTAATCATCTGGGGCTATTCATTTTTTTATGTTCTTGGATGTTGTTAACCTCTTCAGACTGAAGGTTTCCTTCTAGTACATTCTGTAGAATTTGATTGGAAGCTGGAAATTGCTTAAATTTGGTTTTTATCATGGAATATTTTTCTTTTTCTGTGGATTGTGGTTTTGCTGGATACAGCTGGGTACAGCTGTACAGCTGGGTACAGATGGGAACAGATGGGTACAGCTGGGTAGGCAACCATGTTCTCTCAGAGTTTACAAAATATCTATATAAGCCCTTCTGGCTTTTAGAGTCTCCATTGAAAAGTCAGGTATTATTCCAATATCCCTGCCTTTATGTATAAATTAGTCTTTTCGCTTGCAGCCTTTAATATCCTTTCTTTATTCTGTACATTTAGTGTTTTATTATTATATGTCATGGGGAATTTTTTTCTGGTCCTGACTATTTAATGTCCTGTCTGTTTCCTTTACCTTGCTAACCTTCTTTCCCGGTTAGAGAAATTTTCTTCTATGACTTTGTTAAAATTATTTTCTGTGCCTTTGATTTTGGTTTCATTTCCTTCTATCCCTATATTTATTTGTAGATTTGGTATTTTCAGAGTGTCTCAGATTTCTTGGAAGTTTTGTGCCTTGAAGAGGAATATTAAGCTACAGGGAAGTGTAAGGGAAGTATACAGGGAAGGAATGTTGTATGATACTTTATCAGAGAGAAGTCACTAACGTGAGAAGCTGAGAACCTGAGGTCAGTGCTCTGCTGGTCACTGTACCTCGACCAGAACCCCAAGAAAGGGGTGTTCCCTTCCTCCTAGCTCTTTATGCCCTGCCTTCTCCCACGTACCTGTAACCAAGCCCAAAAGTTATGTAATATCTCTCCATACAATTACCCTTTTATTCTAAAGAAAAGGCTTAGACTTAAAACAAAACTAAGTTGTGTCACTATGCAAAATGTCTCAAACATATATAAAGCATATATACATGGAAGATGATAAACAAATTATAATCTACCTGTATCCTATCCTAAGCATATCTATCCTATCTAAACCCTAAACATATCTTAAAGAGATGCCCAAGTCTGAACACCTCCTTCAAATCCCAACCATAAAC